CGGGCCTGACTCGACAGCACATAACAACAACAACAAATCCTCCCAAAATTAGTTTCTGCTTCAGGGAAATGAGACTAAGGATTAGACCAGTGGCTGCATATTGGAATCACCTGGGCACTTCAAACACTACTGATCAGAGGCTTCACTTCAGAACAACTGAATCAGAATCTCAAGGATGCAGCCCAGGCCTTTGAAAGCTCCAGGTGGTTCTAATGTGCAGCCAAGTAGAGAATCATGGACCAGCCCAAGGATGCAATAGGTCCTACCACTCTCTAGTCCCTTGCTCATGGCAGATATCACTGATCAATCACTTTCTTCTAGAGTCTAGAAGCAGTTCCAGCATCCCTTCCACCATGGCCACCATAATTAGACCTGGCCTGAGAGACAGAACATATCTGCTGATCCAGACTAGAATGAAATAGCGTGAGAATCTACTATCTTGTATTTTTTAATCCAGCCTCCAAAAAAATGCTTGGATTAAGTGTGGCTCAGGCTTCAATCAGGTGCAAGTGTCTGTTTTCTTGGGTCTTAGTTTAATGAGGTGTCAATGAGAAACATTCTTATTTGGATTAAGATTCTAGAGACTCTGGTTTTGAATCTATGAACTGGTTCTTGCTCTTACTATGAAAAAGGAAGGGTGTAGAGTGAGAAGCATTTGGGTTTATTTTTTCTTCCCTGATTACCCCCAAAAGAGCTTTCAAACAATCTGCTAAGTAGTGAAGTACTGAAATCATAAATTAGTTGCAAAAAATCGGCTTACTGGAACAACAGGAAAGGCATTCTTTTGCTTCTCAAAGGCTTTCCCATCATCTGGAGCCAAAAATATTATCTTCTGACCCAAAAAGCCACTAATAAACCTTATTCCTATAGGCCAGGCAAGAGGGATGATGTTGCCCTAAACAAAATGGCAAAGAGAACACATTTGTTCTCCAGGCCCTCTCAGACTCTACTTCTGCCCTCTCCCACCTCCTGTCCCCTCCACTTCCAGCTGCCTCTCAACTTCCCAGGCTGATGGGGCCCCCACAAATTGCCCTACCCCAGAGGCCCCCTTCCTCCCTAAGAGCTCCCTTTCGCCAAGTTACCCCTCTATTTTCCCCACTCCTCATCCAAATTCCAAGTCCCAGCTAGCTGTGAGGCATAACCTCTAAGGCCCAGAGTCTAACACACTTTCTTTGGAATCTTCTTGTGCATGCATAGAATAGTGTTTCCTGTCCACGTATTTAGGAGTCTGGGAGTGAGAGAAGGCTGCCTTATGGAGACACACAAAAGAAAGCTGGCAGGAGAATCCCTATGTAACTGGGGGCCATTTCCTGGCCGGAAGCACCAATAAAAAACTGAATTAATGGTACCACATATTTTTGCTACTGATCCATTGAAAACCTAAAAATAAAAGGCTAAAACAGTAAGCTTCAGTTGTGAGGGGCATTCACTTATATAAGCCTTATTCCCCTAAACTGCAAGATAAATGAAAATGAGATGTTATATTCTATATTTATATTTTAAAACATGAGCTTGTTGCTCCAAACTAACCTCTAAATGTCAGAATGTGTGTGTGTGTGTGGCATATTTGTGAGCCCCTTGTCAACTCCATGCCTCACCAGACCTCAACCCACCTGTGCCACTAAAAACCTCACAAAAATGAGCAAAGGGCACCCCTTGCCTAAAAGCTTTGTGATCTGACCCAATCCTGGGCAGCTCACCTCAAAGGGTTAAGAATACAACGGAAGGAGAGCTGCTTCCCAGCTCTCCAAAGGCCACACATCTCTGCCTATGAAACAAGAACATTCATCACCTCCCTCCCTCAGGACTCTTAGCAAGCTTCATCAGTGGCCAATGACAATAAAAAATGTTTGTTATTTATAATACCCAATAGCATGCTATGTCTGTGAGGACAGAGCCCAAGAGCACAGGGATTACATTTTTAAAGTGTGATACAATTGTGGGTGGAAAACCTCCAATCGTGACCTCCTTCTCAAAATACTAGAATAAGAAATGGAGAGGAACAGAACAACCTAGAGGCACAAGCCTTTCCCCTCCCTTGCTGGTAGCTCCTTCTCTCTTACCTGCACCATTTTTAAATGCAGGAGCTCCACAAGCCTCCATCCTAGGCCCACTTCTCATCTTCCTCTATATTTTCCTCTTAGGTGACCTCATCCCCACCCATGGCTTCAATCACATCTTATCAACTCCCAAATGTTGGTCAACACTCAGCTCAGACATGGAAGTCCAGCTGCCTATTTGACAGAACCACCTGGACATCTCAAAGGCTCCTATTTAAAGCTGAGCCCACTCAAGACCAGAAAAACTAGATGGTGCCCAGCTACCAATGCCAACCACTCAGGAAAGGATCAAATCTGGAGATCCTGGATAGAGTGGGAGGAAAAACATGAAACAAAATCCAAAAACTCACTAATGAGCAGAATTACTGGTCAGATGGAGCCTGGTAAGACCCCCAATACTAATGGTCCTGGGATACATTCTGGGCCTGGAATAAAACTCACTCCAAGGGGCTGGCTCTCAGCCCAATAGTTAACAAGATGTACAAACAGATCACTCAACCCAGGGTGAGGCACCCACATACTCTATGGAAATGCATCCCTTGGAGCAATCGACCGCTGGGCAACAGTTGCAGGGAGGAAATGCAGGACAAACAGGAGTGCCTAACTATAGGGGGGGTGGACACTGGGCAAGGAGGGGAGGAGACTGGGTTGGGGTGGGGATGGTAAATGTGGAGTGAAACTGAATGTATATGTAATGTTGAATGTAAAACAAACTCTGTAAACTTGCACCTAAAGCACAGTAATAATAATAATAATTAATAAAGTGCTGAAAGAAAATAAAGTTGAGCCCAGCGTATTCCTTGCTCCTTCTTCATCCCTACTTTCCAAACCTGCTTTTTTTAATTTTTTTACCAGGGTTCCCTAGCTCATAAGTAAATACCCTATCATCCTCCCAGCTGCATAAGCAGAGTCTCCAGGACATAATGATCTCCAGAAGATATAGTTTATTGTTGAGTGAAAAAAGATGTGAAACTAATAGTTTGCTATTAATAGCAGGCTATCTTTTTGTACCAAAGGGGGGAAATGAATAGATAAATAGACACACACACCCCACACACATATACATGTACTTGTTTGTATTTTCAAAAAGAAACAAAGAGTCGATAAATCAAAATAATGAAAATGTGATCATCTATGGGGGAGGGAAGGAATATAGTGGAGGATACTGAATTAAAGGAAATTTCTGTGAATGTACCTTGCTACATAGCTTTGACTTTGAGAAATGTTATATATAAATATTTTATATAATTAAAAACAAATTAAGTCAAAAAGAAAAAAGAATTCCTAGAAATTAAAAACAAATTGAAGCAAATGAACCTAATGGCATGTCAGAGAAAAGAATTACTAAACATAGTATTTGGACTGCAAATCCCACCTAGGACGTATTCAGAGGCTGAAAAAGAACCACAAAGAAATCTTAAATTTCATTCTGAGTCTTTGTTAATAGTAAAAAACAATTGTTATTAAACGATTAGAAGTATATTGTAAGTGAACAGAAAAGAGTCAAGATTAAGAGACCACTATCTTTAGAAAGGAGCTCTGGTAGCATAGTGCCTAAGGCACTTGACTGCTAACCAGAAGGCTGGCGGTTCAAACCCACCAGCCACTCCTCGGAAGGAAGGTTGGGCAATCCTACTTCCGTAGTGATACTGCCTCGGAAACCCAAGGAGGGGTCGCTATGAGTCGGGGCCGACTCGATGGCATATAACAACAACAATAACATCTTTAGAAAAGCCTGCTTGCAAGATTGGCTCTTGGCTGGCATGTGGGAACCTGGATTTCAGGAGAGTTCCCACTGTTTCCAGAACTGATAGAGTGGCTCACTGTGCCTAAACTGTGCAAACAATATGGTTTATGGTGAACACCTGCCTTCCTTCTAGAAGTCTGGAATTTTGGTCCATGCTAGGCAGAGGGTGCTGACATAGCCAGCCCCCAATAAAAATCCTGGGTACTGAGTCTCTAATAAGCTCCCCTGGTAGACAACATTTTCACATGTGTTGTCACAAGTTGTTACTAGAGTTGACATAAAATAGGAAATACACAGCACCAGCTAGGATTTAATCTCATCAAATAACCTGATCTGAATTGAGTCAAGCCTCTAGATCTAACTTCCAGTTAATGGGAAATATGGGAGACAGAGCAACATGTTAAATGACACCGCAAGGGAGCAATGGGCCAAATCCTAGATATCAATGATCTGCTTTCTCCAACAAATCAATGTCATGAGAAAAACAGGGTGGGAGGGGAGGGTATGTAGTTAGATAACAAAAGAGATTTAAGAATCAAAAGAACAACAACAAAAAATCGATCTGATCATGCTACTCTCTCATTTAAAACCCTCCTGGGTTGTGCCTTTCATCATGTCCCCTCACTCTCTCTGTGTTCCACCAATCACCTTCATTCAGTTCCTTGGAACTAGCCTGCTTCTCTATTCTTTGGGTCCCTTGCACATGCAGTTCCCTCTCCCTGGAATGCTGTTCTTGCCCTACCTCCACTTCACCTGGCACAGGTCTTCTCATCCTTTGGCTCAGCTTAAACACTGCCCCCTTGGGAGGGCAGCCCAGACTCTGCCCCAGGATAAGGTCAAGTCCTCCCCTTTATTACACATCCTCATAGCACACTGCTCCTCTCATGGGAGCAAATGTGAGTAGTTGTTTCATATCTGCCTGCCCCAAAATAATAGAAGGTTCTTGAGGGCAGACACCACATCTTTCAACAGAATCTGACACCAAGTAGGCACTAAATAAAAATCTGTTTGACAGACGCACGAACAAAGGATCACCTACAGAGTTCAGTGTCACCAAGTGGAGCTGTGGGAGAACATGAAATCAACAAAACCCAGCACAGTCCCTGCTGATCTTGGCTGCTGCAGTATCTACTATCAGTACCTAGAACCCAGCCTGGCACCCAGGGAATTGAAGCTCATAGGGAAGGACTCACCACCTCATAGGACTTGGGAATGGGTACGATGATGGCCAGCACACAGATGAGCTGGAAGATGGCCCCCAGGAAGAGTCCATAGCGCAGCAGGTTCTCCAGGAATGTGGGCTCAGGCACCTCAGGAGGTGAGAAGTCCAGGTCGGATGCCATGGCCCAAGCCGTCTCTGCCTGAGGTCTCCTGACGCACCACTCTCCAGAAGCAACCTCTAAATGCAAAGGGTAGGTGTCATGTTTCTTTCCCCATGGACTTAGCACCCTTGTCAAAAATCAGTTGACTATAGATATGTGTGTTTATTTCTGGATTCTCAATTCTATTCCATTGGTCTGTGTGTCTATTGTTATACAAGTACCAGACTATTTTGATTACTGTAGCTGTATAATGTGTTTTAAAATCAGGAGTTAATTGTCATGTTTCTGCAACTGAATTTCAAATACTTCAGTATCTACAAACAAATACACATTAAGCAAGAATACATAAAGCAATCATGGTAAAACATTAACAAACTATTAAATCTAAGTGGAGGATAAATGGATGGTCATTATCCCATTCTTTGAACATCTTTTTTTTTAAATTTTTCAAATATAAAATTAGGGTAAATAAATAAATGCAAAGAGAAATACTTCAATAAAAAGTATAAATCAGTGGATCCGTGGGTAGACATGCTAAATGATCAGGTATGCCTAGTTGAAAAGGAATATACCCATGACCATATATAAGTTTTAAAAATCAAACCCAATGCCACCAAGTTGATTGACTCATAGCGACCCCCATTGTTTTCCAAGGCAGTTTATCTTTACGGAAGTAGATTGCCTCATCTTCCTTCCATGGAGTGGCTGATAGGTTTGAACCACCAACCTTGATTAGCAGTCAAATACCTCAGGCACTGCACCACCAGAACTCCTCTTATATATAAGTTTAGCAGGTGATATTTCTACATACATATTTGTATGCAAGACTGGGCAGTGTTTTGTTCTGTTGTACACAGGATCACTATGAGTCAGAACGGACTCATTGGCACCTAACAACATTTGTATGTGCTATAAGAATGTCCATATATACGTGACATACTACACAAAAACATTGTTCTACATCCTACTTTGATGAGTAGCAACTGAGGTCTTAACAGCTTGCAAGTGGCCATCTAAGATGCAACAATTGGTCTCTCATCATCCAGAGCAATGAAGAATGAAGAAAACCAAAGACTCATGGAAACAATTAGTCCAAGGGACTAGTGGACTGTGTGAACCTCAGTCTACATGACCCTGAGACCAGAAGAACTACATGATAACTAGCTACTGCTGTCAACCACTTGGAAAGGGGTCAGTGTAGGAGATCCTGAAGAGTGGGAGAAAAATGTGGAACAAAATTCAAAATCATAAAAAAAGGCCAGGCTTACTGGTCTGATAGAGACTGGTGAAACCCTGAGACAATGGCCCCTGGTCATCTTTTGGGCCTGGAATTGAACTCACTCCTGTGGTTTCCAACCAAGCAACAGACAGGCCTACAAGGTGAACAATTATAGCAGGTAGATACAGTCCTTAGAGCAATCAATCACGGGAGGTAGAAGGACAGTATTTGCACAGGGAGATAGCTGAGAGGACAGGAATGCATAGGAAAGAAGAGCACAGGGAAATGGTAGCCATAGGCAGGAAGTGGAAAGAGGGCCGTAACGCTGTGGGGATTGCAATCAATGTCATGAAACAAAGTATGTATGAACTGCTGTATGGAAAATGAATCTGCTCTGTAAACTTTCATGCAAATCACAATAAAAAATTTTAAAAATGACAAATCAGCATACATTTACTGAAGGCTTACCATGCTTCAGGTATTGTTTCTCCATTCATTTATTAATCCAATCATTCACTCAACAAATATTTATTGAACACTGACACCTGAGGAAGCAAAACAGACCAATCCCTGCTCTCTTGAGCCTACATTTTTTTTTTTTTTAAATTTTTATTGTGTTTTGGGTGAAAGTTTACAGAACAAATTCATTTTCCATACAGCATTTTGTCTCATGACCTGGACTGCAATTCCCCTCAATGTAACAACTCTCTTCCCTGTGTCCTTCCCTCCCATGCACTCTCATCCCCACCCCCCCCAAGCTGTCTCCCTGTGCAAACACAAACACTGCCTTCTGTTCTCCCATGATTGGTCATTCCAAGTAGTGTATCTACCTGATGTAAATGTTCACCCCATATGCCTGTCTGTTGTATGGCTGGAAGCCACAGGAGTGAGTTCAATTCCAGACCTGAAAGGTAGCTAGGCACCACAGTCTCAGGTGTCTCACTAGGCTCTATCAGATCAGCTAACCTGGTCTTTTTTTTTTTTTTTTTAATAATTTTGAATTTGGTTCCACATTGTTCTCTTACTCTATCAGGATCTCTGGCACTGATCCCCCTCTGACTGGTTGACAGTGGTAGCAGGCACCATATTGTTCTTCAGATCTCATGGTCATATAGGCTGAGGACTGCATGGTCTACCAGTCCCTTGGATGGATTGCTTCCATGCATCTTTGGTTTTCTTCATTTTTCTTTGCTCTGGACGAAGAGAGACTCATCATTGTATCTGGCTGGCTGCTTGCAAGCTTTTAAGGTACAGTCGCTAGTCACCAAAGTAGTATGCAGAACAATGTGTAGTATGTTATGCCAATTGAGCTTGATGTCCTCTATGACCATGGTCCTGAACCCATAGGTCCAAATACTCACTCCCTCCAGGTAGCTGGCTGTGGTCAACAAGCCTCCACAACCTTGCCCCTTGTCAGCTCTACTATACACCTGGACATTCTTACAGCACATACAAATACTCATGTAGAAACAACGTCTGCTAACCGTATACATAGTCATGGGCACACCCCCCTGCCTAGACATACCTGATCGTTCAACCTATCCATCTACCCACCCATAAATCAATGCTTGCTATCACTGGCAACACATATATGCAAAAGGGTTCATCTCTGTTGTCTACCTCCCATGTACCTCTCTCTGTCTTCCTCTGCCTCAATGCCACCATGTTGATCACTCACATTTAGTACATTGCCCTTCCCTTCACCCAAATCAATACTTGTCTCTACCTGTTTAGCAGTGTTACCTCCTCTCCCCTCCCATCCCGGTAACCAACAAAGAAAGTTTCCTGCCATATATAAACCATTCCTTGACTTTTTACAATAACAGACTAACACAACATTCGTCCTTCTGTGATTGACTTATTTCACTCAACATAATGTCCTCCAAGTTTATCCACAATATGCGGTGGTTTGTAGATTCTACATTATTCTTTAGTGTTGCATAGTATTCCATTGTGTATATGTACCATAGTTTGCTTATCCATTCTTCTGTTGATGGGTACCTAGGTTGTTTCCATCTTTTTGCTATTGTAATAGTGCTATGATGAACATGAGTGTGCATTTATCTGTTCTTGTCATGGCTCTCACTTCTTTAGGATATATACCTAGTAATGGTATTGCTGGATCAAATGGTATTTCTAATTCCAACTTTTTAAGGAATCACCATACTGCTTTCAACAGTGGTTGGATCATTTGACAGTACCACCAGCAACGTATGAGAGTACCAATCTCTCCACATCCTCACTAGCATTTGTTATTTTCCGTCTTGTTGAACTTTGCTACTAGTTTTGGGGCAAGATTGATGTTTTGGTTTGCATTGATTGATGTTGCATCATTGATGTTTCGGTTTGCATCTCTCTAATGGCTAATGATCATGAACATGTGTTTGCTGGCTGCCTGAATATCTTCTTTGGTGAGGTGTCTATTCATGTCTTCTGCCCATATTTTAATTGGATTGTTTGTCTTTTTGTTGTTGAGGTGTTGAGTTTTCTATAAATTTTAGAGGTAAGTCCCTTGTCAGATATGTTGTTGCCGAGTATTTTTTCCCAATCTATAGGTTCTCTTTTGACTCTTTTAGAGAAGTCTTTTGAAGCACATAAAAATTTAATTTTTAGAAGGTCCCATTCAACTAGTTTATCTTTTGCTGTTTGTGCATTTTGGGTTATGCTTGACAGTCTATTTATGCCATAAACTGTTTGTTGTTGTTGTTGTTGTTGTTATGTGCTGTCGAGTCGGCCCCGACTCATAGCGACCCCTCCTTGGGTTTCCGAGGCAGTATCACTACGGACCCCTATTCTTCCTTTGAGAAACTTTATAGCTTAAGTTTCACATTTAACTAACTCCATCTGGAATTAATTTTTGTATATGGTGTGAGGTACGGATCTTGTTTCATTTTCCTGCAAATGGATATCCAGTTTTGCCAGCACCATCTGTTAAAGAGACAATCTCTTCCCCATTTAATGGATGGAGCCTACATTCTTGTAGGGGAGGCAGACAATGAACAAATCAAGAAGCCATATGCCACATGGTGATAACTGTTTTGAAAAAAATATAAAAAGGTCATTATTGAGAGGATGGTAAGAAGGGCCTCTCGAAGAACAGAAATGAAAATGAAGTGAGAGAGTAAGCCACTTGAATATCTAATGGAAGCATATTCCAGCAGAGAGATAAACAAACGTAAAGGTCCCAGGGCAAGGGAATGAGATGAGCATGGCCAGAAAGAAGGGACCAGGAGGGAGCATGGAAGGAGGTAAGATCAGAAAAGTAAAGAGACAGGACCAGACTTTGTGGGACCTGACAGTTCTGAGTTGAGTAAAATGTAAAACACCAAAGGGTTCTGAGTAGAGTGACATGATCTTACATTTCAAATGGATGGGGGTGGGGGAGCAAACAGGAGAAGGACATGGAGGATACTTGCCAGTTACCCAGGTAAGACATGCTAGTGGCATGGACCTGAGGGGTGGTGGTGGCCTTGTAGAAAATCCAGCTTTACCCCACCTCTCCTTTCACCAAGGCCCCCCACTCTTAATACCCTGGTAGACCTGAAAAAACTGCCATGGGACCCCAGAGTAATGGTCCTCTGCTCGAACTGCACGCTCTGCCATGACCACCCATTCCCACTGTCTGCTTTGAGGCCCTCACTCTACCTCCCAGGCTAAGCTCAAGAGGTACCTCCCAGAGGGAATACTGTGGGGGAAAAAAAAAAATGCATTGACTCATATCACTTTAGTTTTGTGTATTTCACTGTACATAAATTATATTTCAATAAAATATATTAAAAAAAAGAGGCACCTCCCCAGCAGT